AAAGATGTACAGATGTTTTAAAATGTAACATGAAAGTTTTTCAAAGATGTACAGATGTTTTAAAATGTAACATGAAAGTTTTTCAAAGTAAGTAAGTAAGTAAGTTTTCAACCAATCAGAGTATTTTAAAACAATGGCACTGAAATGTCACCACATTTTAAAGCTAACAAGGTAACATGATTATATCAGCGGAACAAACCAGTCGCCGGTATGTATAGACAGATCATGTGTTGCTCAACAAATCGGCACATTTTGAAATCTATTTGTATTTAGACAAATATATTGGGAATAAAGCGTTGCATTTTAAAAGGCAGACACTGAGGCCGAATTTAAATTGGTCACAATTGTATTTTTTTTCTGCAGCTAGAAGTGTAGACTGAGCCTGATTTTAATTGGCATGTTGGTGTAGGATTCTTGCAGTAGAAGCTATGTAGTGAATTGCGGTACCCTGAAATTAAGTGATACGTGTATTAGAATCGTGAAGTGTCATCTTCCTTTGTTTTAGGTTCACCCCAGGCATTTTTATGAACTGTAATGTAATATCTGACAGTGTGTGATGAATTTCTGAAGGCATTTTAAATATGACCATTTCGTGGAAACGTCTCATGGAAAAATGTAGTTGCAGTTTGTCAGGACTAAAGACTGTTTGGCTAATATGACATGGTGAACAAGTCCTGTGGTTAAAGAATGCCTGCCTGCTGCTTAAAACATTGTATTGTATGCTGAATGTTTCTTGCCCGTAGAGTACATGTTGCTATACTGTTCCTTTATTATATTTAAGTATTATTTTATAAATCATTTAATGAAATAGGTAAATATCTCATCATTGATGACTGTGGTCCACCTGAGTGACATGAGGTGGTTAAATGATTTGTGGCAGAACAAAGCAGCAGCATGAAGTGGAGCAGTGAGTAGAATATAGAGAATGCAGCAGCAGTATCACAAAATTAGCAATTCACTGTGGAGGCAGCGATGTTAAATGTTACACTATATGTTGCTGTATATCTCAAATCTCAAAACCATATGACAACCTTAATCATAGCCCTAAGTCTATGACCACCATAGCAGTAACCTTAGCCCTTATTCTATCTCTAACACAAGCTATAACTCTAATCTTAAACACACCCTTAGTCCTTATGTAAACACGCTAAGCCTAAGTCTAATGGTAATTCTAATCCAACTGTAACCCTACTAAGTATGCCCAATCGAGTGCACACAACAAAGTGTACACTACGTAATGCGCACTACGAAGTGTGCACTGGAAAGTGCACACTACGAAGTGCGCACTGGAAAGGGCATACTCATTCCTTTCCAGTTGTGTGCACTAGATAGGGCATACTCAGTCCCTCATAGTGTACTTCATATTGCGCACTTTCATCAAACTGTAACCGTACTGAGTATACCATATCTAGTGCACACAACAAAGTGAGTTGAGTGACTTAGCATGCCCTTTGCAGTGCGCACTTTGTAGTGTACACTTTGTAGTGCACACTGGAAAGGGCATACTGGAAAGGACTCAGTATGCCCTTTCCAGTTGACACTTCGTAGTGCGCACTGGAAAGGGCATACTGGAAAGGACTCAGTATGCCCTTTCCAGTGCACATTTTGTAGTGCACACTTTGTAGTGCACACTTCGTAGTGTACACTTTGTAGTGCACACTGGNCTGGAAAGGACTCAGTATGCCCTTTCCAGTGCACATTTTGTAGTGCACACTTTGTAGTGCACACTTCGTAGTGTACACTTTGTAGTGCACACTGGAAAGGGCATACTGTAAAGGGCTGAGTATGCCCTTTCCAGTGGACACTTCGTAGTGCGCACTGGAAAGGCCATGCTGGAAAGGACTCAGTATGCCCTTTCCAGTGCACACTTCGTAGTGCGCACTGGAAAGGGCATACTGGAAAGGACTCAGTATGCCCTTTCCAGTGCACATTTTGTAGTGCACACTTTGTAGTGC